GCGGTCCCAAGCTGCCAAATGCCTTCTACCTTCATTACATAGGAATGTAAAATTGTTGCTAGACAGGCTAGGGATTTTACTTCCTCTGCTAAGCAAAATAAAATTACTTCATCTAACAAAGCGCCGGTGACCTAAATTCAGTCTAAAATATTCAGAAATATTTCCTTTGTTTGGCAGTTTGAGCTGGAAATTCACTTAGTGAGAATTACTAAGAATTTAGAGCGCAACCGTGAAGTGAACCACTGTCCATTTGCACTTTTTGAGACAAATGTCTGTGCTTATCTAATTAGGTGAAATTTGGGCTCCGAGAATGGGTCCTCGGAAGGGTGGAATATGATACACGTGTGAGTGACATCCCACTGAATCTTATTTTGCCACTGGTACTTATTCCTATGATAGCAATCATCGTCATTTCTATCATCTGTTACAGGTGAGTTCTTTTAATTAGGTAGTTTTGCTGTCCTAAAGCTTCCAAGGTACTACCTGATTGTTTTCAGCTCAGTCTACAGAAATTACCTTCATCTTTTTCATGAGCTGCAGAGTTAAGAAAGGCAGTTACAGCAGGAAATATGTATGAGCACCAATTTATTCCCCTCACGCACACCAAATTCCTTGGTGTCAGTCAGCCCAGTCCGTCTTTTATACATAAACACAACAATTGGTCCCAGGCTTTCCATGCACACAATTGCAGACTGGGTTGCACATATACATTCTTGAAATGGCAGCTAAAGTGCCTCTTGTGAAGGAGATAACTTATTCTGTATACATAACCATCAGCATTTATGCTGCCTCTGTCAGCACTGTAGGTCTGAGCTGGATGGATTTGGCTAAGAGGTCCTTTTGGCCTTTCCAGCTGAGGTAAAGCGTTACCCACACACGAATTTTGTGATTAATGGTGAAATTCATGCTTCACAAAGGGCCAGAACAATGACTGTATTTCATTTAAGACATACTTAGCCCAATGTTAAGGTTAGTAATGAGGGTCTCATACTGTCCCTCAGGAAGGGGTGGATTTCACTCTTAGGGTGCATATCAATATAGCCGAAGCAATGCAGAAGTATGTGCTGTACAGCACTGAAGTTCTCGTCTGCAACCTTCTCATTTCAGTCCCTGATATGCTCCTGGGTGGCTCAGAGCCAGTGCAGGACATGTTGCAAGCAATCTTTGTTCACTACATACAAATTGAGTTTCTGTACTTAATATGTGGTTAAAAGCATTTGTAGCTACTGCTTACTGTATTTTAAATCACTGGCCCAAGAGTGCTTTGAAGCAGCAGGCCCGTGATACTGACAGGTTGATTTAGACGGAATGAAGACCTGGTCCACTGTTGCTGGTTTCCTCCTCCATCCTCTTTCTGCTGCCAGTGTTTAAAAAGAAATCAAAATCACGAAAATGTCCCCCAGTCCTTTGGCTTCCCACTCAGCGCTGTTGCAATTTACCTACTTTTGCAGTTTGTAACATTTTAAAAATCTTACCTCTCTTCCATAAAGACGCAAGAGCCAACAAGCAGAACGAGAGTATGAAAAAATTAAATCACAACTGGAAGGCCTGGAGGAGAGTGTCAGAGACCGGTGCAAGAAGGAATTCACAGGTAGGACAGATGTTTGCGCTCCTGCGGGTCCTCTTGAGCAGTCAGAAGATGGGCTGGAGCAATGGTGGTAGCTTGCTAAAGTTGTCTTCTGGGAACAAATAATTAGTAGATCTTAGTAATCTTGATTACTGACGTTGACATACAGCAGATATTTGATATGATTTATGAAAGCCTTAAATAAAATAGGGACCTGAGGTTATTAAAAGAATTGGATAGGTTTAGTCTGAAGGCAGGACAGTTAGCAACTAGGAAAGAGAAACTAGTTGAGACTGGGGTTACTTATAGCCATTAATGTGAGTGGCCATGGATACAGAGGAAAGAATGTTTTGTAGTGACTAACTGTACATTTAGTATTTAGCACAATGGCTGTATGTGCCAAGTATGCACATTAAAAACTGTTTTCGGATCTCTAAAATTTATTGCAGCAATCATAATACAAAGGGATAATTTGGCAAGCTTGCAGGGGAGAAATAGCATTTTGCCCTGTTTATCATGGGAAAACCTTAAGCTTGATTTGAGGAGCTAGCTAATTGTTCTGTGTAAATACAGAGGCATCATCCCAGGGAAGGCAGCGGGAGGTGTGAAGGCTCAGCATTTCTACACATGGAACTACTCATTGCAACGCTTAAATTAGGCATCAGAGTGCAAACATTGCAAATACTGGCCTAAATATTGCCATGAAATGTCACCTCATTATCTGAATTATAGTTGCTGTTGGGTCATGTTGAAATAATCTTTACTGAAAAAAAAAAAACAAACCATGTTTTATTTCTAAAGAGAAATAGATTATTTCATATTGACAGTGGCTAAAAAGCAGTATTGAATTAAACAGCAAATTCAGGTTAGACTTGGAAATTAATTTAAGAAACTCGGAGAATCTGAGAGATTTCAGCCATGCTGGAAGCCTCTTCCAGTCTTGTGTTTCTGGCTTTTCTGGAACAAGATGTTCTTTTCTTGTACCAGTTTGCTTCCTATGGAAAACCAACTCCTTCCAGGTTCTAGACACAAACCAGAAGCAAATGTTTGAATCAAGAACTGTTCCCAAATGGGCTTCATTTCAAACTGCATTTGAAACTGTGAGAAGATCGATCAAAGTTAACAGCCCTCCCTCTCGCCACCTCTCCTGTGGAATTTCATACCTGTTTCTGAAAGGAGAAGGTGCCTTTCTCTTGCTGACACTCCTAGTGGGGGGCTACAGACTCCTGCTGTGTGTTGGGTTGAAGGTTTCCTCTCAGCTCCACCAGGCACAAGCAATGGGGAAGTAGAACATACATCCAAGGAGTAATCCTGTTCCTAAACTACATCTGCCTTGGCTGGCAGTAAAAGGAAACGCTAAAGTCAAAACACATTCTGGATCCATATTGTGAAATTGTAATGTCAACAGCACAAAGTGCAGACAGTCTAAAATACATGGGACCAAAGATAGCCAAGGAAAGGGACATGAGGGAGGAAGTACAAATACCACAGAGCTGAAAACCACAAGATGCTTTCTCCCTCAGCTTTGCTGATTGCTATAAAAGAGAGGGGTAAATGAGTGAATTAAGAGCAATAAAATTGCTGAGACAATAGGTCACTATATTAATTAACATGGTATTCTAGTCAATCAGCAATATCAGGTAATTGGAAAGCCTTCAGCTAGATGATGATTCCCTAATTGTTGTCCCTTTTAAGATCTTCAGAGCTTTTGAATCCCACAGAAATATTTCCATCCATTTCAGTGAACCATTTAACCTTCTTCCTCCATGTCATCCATTTCCTTCCAATTAAATTAGCATGCTTTACACTTTAAACCTTTCTTTCCTGATTGTTATGTATTTTTTAAAAAACTTTTATTACTACCTAGACTAGAGGGAATAGAATGTGCATTGGAAAAAAAAAAAAAACCAAGAAAATTATATTGCAGGGGTCTTTTAGGGTTGGTTGTTTTTTTTGACTCTGTGCTACAATCCTGCATGAACTCATCCAGATGTCCATTAAGGCCCTTTTTCAGATAGGCAGCAACAAGGAAACCATCTGTGCTGAAGGCAGTTATCCTCGTGTCACCGCAGGGTTAGCTGTGGTTGTAGTTAACAGAATAGTTGGTAAGAACAGGAGGAGAAGATGTGAGATGAAATAGAGTTTTTGGTGTTGCGTTTTCTTCATTACAAGGCACCCAAAGAGATCACGTCACCAAAAATAGCTGCAGGCTCTTTTTAAACAAACGTTTAAACCGTTGTGCATATTCCAGATCTAATGATTGAGATGGAGGATCAGACAAATGATATCAACGACGCTGGAATTCCAGTGCTGGACTACAAAACCTACACGGACAGAGTCTTCTTCTTGCCCTCCAAAGACGGAGAGAAAGATGTGATGATTACGGGGAAGCTGGACATTCCTGAGGCCAGGCGGCAGACTGTGGAGCAGGCTTTGAACCAGTTCTCCAACCTTCTCAATAGCAAATCATTCCTCATTAATGTGAGTACTGTGGGAGATTCACCTTGTCTCTCAGCTAGGCATACCTGCGTGTACGAGATAGCGGGTTTGCAAGCACAAGTGAACCAAAATTATTAAAAATAAGGGATTTGCATACGGTTCTAGTTCCACAGTAACGTGGCCTCACACCCAGAGCTTCCTAGTGAAGGGGAGAGGCAAGATATTTCTGTGCCAGGTCACGTAGTATGGAGTTAGTCAATATTGCAGTCGCTGTAAGAAAACAGATATTGCCCAATCTGGCTTAAAAACTGCTTTTACAAGTTTGTTTTAGCCTTTTAAGAAACGTGATGGGAGAATGAGGATTCCATCCTGGTTTCTCACAGAGTCACCGGCAGGCAGCCGTCTGCTGGATCTCTGCCCCAGAGAGGCAGAGGCTCCTCAAGTGGCCTATTCATCAAGATCGATGAGTGCTCGCAGCGGCTCTGAAGAGACTTCTAATTGCTCACTCTCAAAAACCGAGGCTGATTGTCAGACACCTAAATATAGATTTAGGCTTCTAACTTCTTTTTTAAATGAGGCTCCAGAGCTGAGCTGGTTAATGGTAGCATTACAGTTTATGGCAGATGAGAGCGCGTTCCCAGGTGTACTTAGATTAGTGTCTTAGTAATTTGATGTGAAAGGGCTGGGAGTTTGGAATTTGAGGGAGAGGGGAGTTGCTTTTTGCTTTTAAAAAAAAATGTCACAGAACACCTTTTTTCATTTCATTAAAGCATCCTAATTTTTAGATAAGCCTTCTGTTAAAGCACATAAGCATTTCTTGGGTTAGTCCAGTACACCGTGTGTATATCTAACAACAAATTATAGGCAAGACTTTCTTATAAGTAGATTTTTAAAACTTTTCCATTCTGTGCTTAGAAGATTAGGGTTAAAATAATACTGCATGTCTTCTTAGAGCACACAAGTTTTGAGGTTCTACAGAAACCTTTCGTCTGATTTGTTTTTACATTTGTTTTCTATTTCAGTTTATTCACACGCTGGAAAACCAAAGGGAGTTCTCTGCTCGAGCTAAAGTGTATTTTGCATCTTTACTGACAGTTGCTTTACATGGAAAACTAGAATACTACACTGACATCATGAGGACGCTGTTCTTAGAACTGATGGAGCAGTATGTTGTGGCCAAAAACCCAAAGCTGATGCTAAGAAGGTTTGAATGATTGTCATATTTTCTGTAGTTCTCCGCTTTTCTGTAAATGTATTTCTTTTGCAGTGGTGAGTATTAAAATGCCAACTGTCTGAGAAAGTCAGAAATAGCCTGGCCCAGGCATATGAAGGAGACAGGTTCACCAGGCATAGCTGTGGAAGGCACAGGCAGGAGGACTGCTGGCAATGGATTTCCTTATTCAAATACTGTAGTGTGGAATCTGCATCAAGATTACTGAAACATCTGCCTTACTTCAAAATACAATACAGAACATTTCATTTACTTTCTAATCTAATTTTATTCCAAATAATCTAGCAATTAAACCACACATCATCTCTGTAACGAGCACACGTAATCAGCTTGCATTGTGCATTCAGTGAGGGCTTGCTCTAGTGTTTTTAACCCTGTTGTTATCCCAAAGAAATTATGAAAGACCTTGGTCTGTGTATGTTGTAGCTTTGTAATCTGTAAGTTATTTCCCAGTAACTGCACAACTGGGTTAATTTTTCAGCTCTTACAGCGCAGACCCAATTTAGGATTTTGCATAAAGGATGTGCGCTTTTCCGTAATGAGCTGAAGGTACCCGGGAATGATGAGCAATACAAAGCACTTATCCTAAAGCAAGTACATGCTCTCAAGACTCTATAGGGAAATCATTGCATTAGGAGAGTGCACGCAGTTAAGCATATAAAAATATTATATTTCAAGCAAGCAATGTTTTTCTTTAAAACTTTGTCATTAAGCACACTTACCATACTCAGGGTTGGGTTTTTTTTTTTTTCAGATCTGAAACGGTTGTTGAGAGAATGTTGTCTAACTGGATGTCTATTTGTTTATATCAGTACCTCAAGGTAAGAGTTGAAGTCTGTTGCCTGTGGGAGTTTTTTTATCAATAATACTTAAACACACTGCATTGAGCGTATCTTTTGGTTTTGCTTTATTTCCTTTCCTTTGAACAGGACAATGCCGGGGAGCCTCTTTATAAATTGTTCAAAGCTATCAAACACCAGGTAGAAAAAGGCCCAGTGGATGCTGTACTAAAGAAAGCCAAGTATACATTGAATGACACAGGCTTACTGGGAGATGATGTAGAGTATACGCAGTTGGTAAGCAGAGCATGATTAATATATTCTAAAATCTTTTCTTCTTTAAACTTAAGTCCTGTAGTGCTAAGTCTGTACATACTTTTCTGGACAAATGTGATCTGCATAGAAATTCTGATCGTGGGCAGGACTGTCGATAGTTTGACCAAAGCAAGTCTCCAAGAAGGAAAACAGAATTATAAAGTATCTTCTAAGCATTAAATCCAAGTCCTGCCACTGTGGAATCCGTTTCAGTAAATCCCTTTAATATTCTCAAAGTCTGACTGAGCAATGGTCAGAGTGTTTGGCTCCTTCCCTTTTCCCATCTAAATTAACTGGCAATTGATTTTTGCAGAATTCTTGCACTAACATTACGCTTGCAGTTCGAGTTGTCTTTCTCCCTTGTGATTGCTGCTCGTCAGCATATCAAATGTCATTTTAGAGATCATTTTATTAGTCTACCAGGATACAAGCTCCTCTGCAGTCCTGTGACATGGCTCTGCAATCTTCAAAACACTTCAGGCACCTATTCCTGCACTTGTTCCTGTGTGACTGAAACTCTCTTCAATGCAGGGAGCCCAACTGGCATTGAAGGGGGTTTATTTCCACCTAAGGAAGTAATTCCCTACAGTGATGAGGGGAAGCTGCCTCTACAGGCAATTCTGGAGACCCGTGTTGGGGTCCTTGTTGCTTCGTCAAGTGGGATGAAGTGGACATCCCTGCCCCAGGGATTCCTGAGCTCCACCACGCCCTGACCCTCATCACCAGTGCCATGGTCTAGTTACCTATTAGAAATTCTGCTTTTGCTTCATTCTGCTCACTGCCACATTTCCACCACTTTTTCAACCAGACTCCAGCACGCAGGTTCGCTGTCATTTTAAAAATCTGAAGCAGCCCACTCTTTAGCTGTTTAGGGAGCGTAAATTCTAGTTTTACTCTTTCTGACAGTCTTGCTGGTTTTCTTCAGGATACAGTGCAATGAATAAAGAAGCACAACCACCAACACAGGATTTTTTTCTTCCCTCTCCGATTTCTCTTTTATTGATGTGTTAGGAGCCATTTGTGGTTGTCTCCAACTGAGAAACATGCAGTGACATATCTGCAGTGTGGAAAGAGAAACTTAATAAAAAGCTTTATTAAGTCCTGGTTAAAAAAAAAAATCACCGTTTTATGTATTCTGAAGAGATGCTGATGGGAGGGCTGATGTGAGGAGATTGCTGTAGGACTTTCACTCGCAGAATCACTAGAGTGTGACCTAGACTGCCTGGAGAAAAAGGGTGTGCTGGGCAAGGAGAAGTATTTTAAGTTCAGTTGATATTTTGGCAATTAGTCCAGTTGTCATCTTCATATCTAAGCTGAAAGTGCCACCCATATAAACCACACTGGCAATGCTCGTTATCTTTTCTCTTACGTATGGAGAACAAAATTTACTTGCAGTGTACATCGTGTAAGACTTGATGGCAATAATTCTTTATTCAGTCTGTTTCTTTTCACAAAAAAGCCAATGCCTGCAATTAAGCTAAATGAATGCAGTGTGAAAGCAGAAAATTTGTGTATGCAGTCAGATGTGGGCACAACAAGCATACTAGCTAGACATTAAACATTATAGCATTGTACAGTAGCAGTATTTGGTCCAGATTTACAGATTTCCCATCAAACAAAGATTTTATGTGTGTGCGTGCACGGAAGATGATGGGAAATATGTGTATATATATATGTATGATCAAAGATTATGAAGGGGGTTACTATTGCTATAAGTTATTGGGCACGATGGTGACATAACTGTGAACAGTTAGGGAGCATTTGTGCACCAAGGTAGGTTAAAGCATGAGTTAATTAGTTCACTTCTGCCTGAAAGTGAGACACGGTGGGGAAGTACAGTATAGAGCAGTTGTCTGCTCTCTAATTGTTCTTATTTAAAAGATGAATCTGTTTTGCATCACTGGTTACGCTGACGTGCTGCATACTGAACCAGCAGCAAAATCATGTCTAATTACCATAAAGCTAATAGGAAAAGGAAGGTGAAATCTCATGATTAGTTTGAGGGTTCTGTCAGGGGACAGTGCAATCATGTTTAATTTGACTGCCGTATGGCGTAGCTTTTCTTCACTTGCTTAAAAATACCAGCCATGCAAGTTTGTTTCTGAGATTTGAGATGATAAATTCAGGCATTATTGTTGGCAGGAGCATATGTGTTTGAGAGCTGCGATGCTTTGGATGTGCCTGGCCTCCAAAGCTACCTGACTGGCAAAAGATCCACAAGGACTCTGAGCTGTTGTATGGGTTCAGCTAGTGGAAAGAAAGAGGCTTTTCATAACATCTATTTGGTTTTGGTGGGATTTTTATCCTTCAGGGGAGGTTTCCTGGCCATAGTTTTCTCATTTGCTTTTGTCTGTATTAAAACTGACACTTACATAGTGAAGCTACTTTTAAAAAATTCACTCTAGATTTAGCAAATTACAGGCTTTCAAAAAATTCTGTTTAACATTAAAAAAAACATGTCAATACTATCAGAAAACAGTAATACCTTAGAACTAGCGTTAACTACTTAAGTGTATTTCCTGGAGCTATTAGACTTATTGTGACAACAGTAAGCTGTAAATGAAGTCTTCTAACACCAAAGATAATATAAATGGCTTTTATATATACATATACGTGTGTGTGTGTACTTCTATATATCGAATGAGCAGCTGCTCACAGGAGGTAAAGCTACAGGAGCTGAACAAGTCACTGCTCATCAGCTGAGCCGTGTGAAATCACCATATGCACAGACCTACTCCGCTCGCCTTGAGAATCACAGAATCACAACCACGAAGACAGTGTGAAGGAAGGCAAAAGCACACAATACTGTAGGAGTTCAGCAACGTGCACCTCAAGCGATTATTGGGAACCCGTTAGGTTTGGGCACTGCATTACTTGTGCTTTTCTATGTTCCGGGTTATCGGGCTATATGAGAAGCATTTAACTAGTCCATGGACCAGCTGCTTTGTTCTTGAATAAATCCTCAAGACTCCATAATAATATCACAGTAGACATGAGTAAATCTATTCTGCATCTTTTCTGTTTTGCCAGAATGCAATAATCATTGCATAGTGAATTTTAGATATTGTTTTCATTTAAATCACCCAGAAAAATAGCTTCAGAGGTAATTCAACACTGATTCGGCTTAATAACCATGTACCTTCTTCTTTTTTTTTCCCCAGACAGTAAATGTGTATGTGCAAGATGGAGGAAGCGATTCCATACCTGTGAAAGTGCTGAACTGTGATACGATATCACAAGTAAAGGAAAAGATAATAGACCAAGTCTATAGAAATCTGCCGTGTTCTCAGTGGCCAAAAGCTGAGAGTGTAGTTCTTGGTAGGTGGCTACTTGTGATACTATGTTGAGTAGGTGAAACATGTTGTGTGATTTTGTATTATCCCCTAAAATGTCTGTAAAAGCAATTTATATGTTTTCTTTAAAAAAAAAAAGAAGTTGAATTTGTGTTCAGCTGGATGCAAAAATAGAGCATTTTGCAGCAATCTTAATATGCATTAAAAATTAATGCTTTCTTACAGTGTTCTTTTTCATGACTTAAAGTTTTGGTGTATTGTCATTAGTGTGCAAAGAGCCTGTTAATGACTGTTAGCACAAATGTATTCATGTCTGACAGACTCAGTATCTCAGGTACTAATTAATGTGATAATGACAGCATGGACAATTAACTGATGGAGAAGTAATAATGCGATTTCAGAAACTGGTACTGATTTTGACTTGCCTTTATGATGGTTATTCAAAAGAATTATAATTTACAGGAGCTGCACATTTAGGAGATGATGACCCAGCCTCTGAAAATTTTCCTCCTTGAAGGCTTTCAATATTGCTGTTCTCTTCTTGAGGGAAAAAAAAATTGATGTCACTTAAAAGGCCTAATAATCTTATAACAAAATCTCAGATTAATAGTTTTGCAATATCTTCATTTAATCTGCATTAATTTGCAAGTAGACAACACAACTCTTGCTCTTCAGAAAATCCTAGTAAATTCTCTAAAAATGTCTTTTCTATTCCACAGAAAGTCCTACTATATTCTGAATGTATAGCACTTCTTATTATCCATATTTTTAATATTCTATACAAAGGAATTTAACTTTCTATGGAAAATAATCAGCAGTCATGGGCATGGTTAGAAATAATTCATGTAAACTTCTGTAATGAAGACCAAACTATTACGTAGTAAAACCCACATATTGTGGCATGTGCCAAATTACTTCTTTAAACACTCAGTGGGTCTCTAAACGGAAACATTCTTGAAGTAGTTATTTTTGCACATGGTTAAAACCTGTTTTTTCTCATTTTAATTACCCCTTAGAGTGGCGTCCAGGTTCTACTGCACAGATCCTCTCAGACTTGGATTTAACATCCCAAAGAGATGGCAGATGGAAACGTATCAACACACTAATGCATTATAATGTAAGGAGGTGTTTCAGAGCAGTTGTTCGCATCTGTTAACTGTTCTCTAGTAATAAATAAAATCTTTATTTGTTTTTAGAGAAACTTCTGTGCTACATAAAGAATCAAAAAACTCATAGCTCTGGGACTAGGCAATAAAAACTTGGGACCGTGAAAGACTAAGTCTAGACATGTTGCCTAAATATCTTACCAAAAACATATCACCTAAGTGCCAGCACTTTGGTTTCTTCATCATTGTGGTGTCCAAATCCAAATTCTCCTTTGAACACTCAAAAGCTCCTTTTGATAGGTCTCATATTCATCTCTTCTCTACCACTTCCTACCCCTGAGAGTTGGCTTTGTCCTTGCTCTGCTGCTAAATAGATTTTGGGCTGGTCTGGTTTGTTCAGCAGCCCGGTCAGGAGAGCAGATGTTGATGTTTTTGTACTGTCTTGTTTTAGGTTTTGTACTGTGCACTCTACCACTAAGCACTTGCAATCCACTTATCTTCCCTCCGTATGCTATTTATTGCTTTCTATCAACAGATATCCTGATTAGGAAAGATAGAAGTTAGTTTTCCCTCAGAAAACAGACAGGTCTTGATTCTTCATGATAAACCTCATTTTTGTACAACAGGCTCCCACGCTGGAGTGATGAACCGCTGAAGTCTTGGAGGTGCTTCTAGCGTTTGCAGTAATCTCACGGGAGGTGTTACTGGGATCACTTATTAAAGGAGGGGGGAGGGAGGGAGTCTGTTCTGAATTGCAGAGCCAGTTCCCCAGAAGCCTTTGAAGGGCAGCTTAATCACAGGTCCAGATTGCCTGCCAAAGATTAAAGAAACCACAGTTTAGGTGTTAAGAAAGAGGTTCAGTAGTGCATATTTCTTTCGATTAACATTGCTGTGTTTGTATTTTTCAAAGGTCCGAGATGGTGCCACGCTCATCTTATCAAAAATGGGAATTTCCCAGCAGCCAGAGGATAATCAGCAAGATGTCCCAGGGGAAAGTAAGTATCTTGTGGCTTCACTACCTCCCCAGATGACTAGAAGTCAAGCATGTCTGTGGAGCTAGATATTCCCCACCAGACTATATAGGAGGTATTTGTTCTGTGTTACCCACTGCACACTCACAATGGTTTTCTTTGGCCTCATAATAAAAGCCGTAACAGAAAGCCCTCTGAGCAAACATTTCCCCGCATATTTTGTTTCCTAATCCCACTGAATCTATAGTCACACCTCGTGTTTCACCTTTCCAAAGCTTTATCTCTTTCTCCTTCCTTCTTCCTTTTCATACTTTCCTCTCCAGATTTCTTCCACTTTTTATTAGACTAATATTGAGCACTGTGTTCTAGATGAACCACAGCAGAGACCAGCTTCCCTCTCTGTGACATAGTGGGTCTGATTGGGGGGGGAGGGGGTTTATTGCATTTCTTAAAACCATGTTGCCTTGCAAACTCGCCTCTCTACATTGATATTTTGTGTCTCCCTCCCATTAAGTGGTGTTTCACCACCTTATGCTAGCTTGGTTTTTCCAGGGTTTGTTGGTTGGCTTCATTCATCCAGAACTGTTATCTTTTGAGATGCAGAATTTTCCACGATTCCTTTGTTCTTTTTGAGTGAGCTAGTGTAAGTGTCAAGAATTTCCTTATGTTTCCTCTCTTTCGCATCACTAAAGCCACTGTTGCCCAATTCTTGTACTGCTGTCTGCTACAGTATGCTGGACTTCCCAGCACAGAAGACAACCTGTTCTCTTGCAACCTGTTTTTTAAAGCTTTTACTTCTACGTGTTAGTAGTCTGTCTTTATCTCAAAACCTCTTGAGACACAATATCCAATACAGCCTAAAACGCACTCAGATTTTTATGGAAATATTTACTTGTAAATTTATGTTCTTTGTCACATGTGTTTCCTTTTCATTTCAGATGTTCAGTTTCTCTCTTTTTTTATCCTTATACTGAATTATTTTACACGAGGTAGAATTTAGATTTATGGAATGAAAATTGTTGAGATCATTCTTCCTTCTATGAACACATTTGATATGCTCCTCTGTCTACCACTGATTGCAAAAGCCATTGCTTCACCTAATAGTTTCATTCCTTAAAACAGATTTACTGATCTTAGATTTAATAGGTTTCAAGGGCTGGGCAGTCAAACAGATTGGAAATCATATGCCAGAAATGTACATTTTTCAAGAAAATGGCTCTCAGCTGATAGCTCTGACGTGTATCGCCATTTAACAAAAATGTGCAGATTTCCATTTCCTTTGTGTTCAGTGTAGGCCAGGAAATTAGGACAGGCAGAATTACTCGCCGTTTGCTTTTTACTCTCTCCTCTCTGATGCTTTCTGTTGAGACTCTTTCCAGCATCCTCCAAGGGCCCTCTAATGGTCGCAGCTACACCTCTGATGCTCTTCTCTCACCCCTTTACTGCAAGTGCCTGCCTTAGTTGGCCAAGTGGTGACTACTCTGTCACAGCAAGTGCCAACCCAGCAGGTTAACTTAAAAAGCTGTTCAGTCTAATACAGAGGGTAGTGAGGTGCAGCCAGGCGAGGAGCTAATGCCTAGTCCCTGTTAACTTTGGTTGCACCAACTGCTGAGATAACTGGTGAGATGGTGGTCATCTCCACTCTAAAGAAGTGGAAGGGACCGTGAGGGGAGCCTGGTGGTGTCCTTCGCTTGCTTTGCTTTCGTAACACACCGCGGTGTTCAGTCTGTCGTTCTGGCCTCTCAGTCTTCATCCTCCCCACCTCGCTACCCTTATGGCAGGCAGCAGAGCACCAGACCATGTGGTTTTCTTTTTTTGTTGCATGCTTTTTTTCTTTCCTCCTTCTCTGCAATTACATCTTTAGCTGTGATTCACTGGGATGAAGCTCTTTGAACAGACGTGATCTGTACTCCAAGATTAACTCCCTAGTTACACCTGGGGGATAATAAATTGTAAAGGAAAAGCAGACTTCTGGGGACAGTGCTGTCACACGAGGGCTCTGGTACATGAGAGGAAAATCTGCAGAGAGAATTCAGATCTCAAAGTATGGACTTCATTAAGACAACTTCCACCATGTTTCTTCTCCACACCCTGTCTTGCACCATGTAGTGTACAAATTTGGGAAGATAGCCTTTCATGCTAGGCTGGCCCATTTTCTGAAGTGCCGAAGGATCCTCAGAGCTATCTGGTGCCAACTTGTTCTTTTGGAAAGCTATAAAATGCTACAAAGCCAGTGCAAAGCGAGAGCCTGCGGTGACAGTGATTTGTGAGACGCTATGTGTATAAAAGGGAGAGGAGATGATCAGAGCCTTCCCCTCCCACACATACACATTTATATGACACAGGGATTTACAGGGTTGGAATAAATAGAAATCCTATCCCAGCTCTATGAATGAGGCTTGTGACGAAGTGGTTTTCCTTTTATTGAGTCCCTCATTAACGTGCACCTTTTGCATTGAGAAGTGTCAGCTGAAGCCATTGACTGTCTGCCAAAGCACTAGGCTTTGCACAGAACAAAACTGTAAAACCATGTTCAGAGATGTTGCTCTAAAACCTGGCATTGCTTCCATGCTGCTTTTGATTCAGAGCTTCTAACAGGAAGACACTAGAAGCTGGAGGTTGTGACAAATTAAATGCAGCATCCTTTGCTTCTGGAGATAATAAATGCAATTACTAATTTGTATCAAGATGGAGAATGGTTTCAGTGATTTCATGCTAGTGTTTCTGTACTGAACTGTAAGCCAGAACAACACACACTGATATTCTGGGGTTTTTCTCTGGTTTGGGTTGTTTGGTTTTTTTTTTTCCTTTTTCAATTCTGAATAAAAATAGAAAGGGTTGCAGATCAGAAATACTGATTAGCAGATCCGTGTAGGGCAGCCCTTCCTTCCCCTCCACGGAGCAGTGTATTCACGGGGGGGAGGAGACCTGAAGGAAGCTAATTTGCTGCAGGCCACACAAGGGGAAAGGGGCTGCATTGCCTGTCGCCACCTCATTCGCCTCCATCATGTTTACATAATGGTTCATACCCCTATAATTAGTCAACACACTCGATATTTGGCATTAACCCACACACGCAGTGTTTATATTGGCCAAAGAATACCCAAGGGCCAAGACAAAGAGTCTGGGGGGAAGCATTTGATCCCGTGGGCGCAGTCTTCTCCCCGCTACGGCTTGGCTCATACTGTGGCTACCGCAGTAAAGAAGGAAGCGTTTGCCCCTATCTTTTATTTTCATCACCTTCTGCTTTTCCACCGGGGAAAATATTATCTCACAGAAATGCTCTTTTCTCTTAGCTACCACACTGCTGACATGTTTTGTTGCCCCGTGTTCTGAATTTCTCTTCCCCTTTCTTCTTGCTACTTTTAGCAATGAAGTGGGATCTTTGTGTTGCAGAAGTTCATCTGGTTGAGCTGTAGTCTCTTAATCCCTACTTTGCTGTGAAATGACTACTGTTTCACTGGTAGCCAGTTCTGTTTGTTGCTGAACAAACACAGGCCAAATCAAGATGCACATAAGGGCCAGTAATTTTGGTGGAAACCCCTTTGGTTGTTTCTCATCTCTCCAAAGTTAAAGTGGGCCATATACCATCAGGAGGGCAAAGAGAGGATAAATTCCTTTGAATCAAAGGGGGAAGCAGAAGTGTGCCAAGCAACTGACATATGGCTGGAAAATAGTTTCTGCTCTAAACTGCGTGATTTGATCTACTAATTTACAAAAGTAAATAACAGGCATTGCAAAAGAAATTCCAGACTTCAAGCCCAGCAGTGGTTCTTACTGTACTGGCGGATGATTGCTGAATGTTATCGATTGCGAAATCACGGCTGCTTCACAATGAAGTGATAGCTTTTGTTTCTTTCTTCCTTCGTTCACATGAACTTCCAAGTCAAATTAAGGACTCTCAAAGGACAACGTGATTTAATGTGAGATTTGTTTATTTTCCTACCTGGTTAAGAAGAAGTAGAGGCCCCCAAAGACTGCCTAGCTAATGCATTTCATGAGGTTATATAAAGTACCTTCAAGCAGAAGTGTTGGCTTGGCCAGATTACACATGAATGTTATTTTCCCCTGTGATGTGAAATATTGAACAAGCGTGCAAGCTGGTAAATCTAATGCAGCTGTTGAGGAACTTAGTTAATAAACTGCTTATGGCCAAAAAGGACAAAATTCATGCAATTAGAAACTGGTATTTTCTGCTGTAACTGGGATTCAGTTACATTAGATATGTATATTAAAGCATGGAACTTAGCAGTAATGCAAAATAACTTGTGCAATAGGGCTGAATCACAATTTTTATGGGAAAAATAACTTTCACATTTTTAAGACGTCAACGATTTTAAATGCACTGATTCAGTAACTTCCACTGGAAGAGAGCCATTGATTTTAGGAACTATGCCAAGTAGATGTATAAAATTCAGAAATTAAAGGGAGAACAAATAAACCCGGGAGATTTAAAACTGGGTTTGGGACACAGAATCCTTTTTCAAGGGGTATTAATTGCAAGTGAATTGTATCATCGCTTTTAGAACTGTTGGCAACAAAATATTCTCAGGCATAGAGTTTGTCTGAACACTCAAGTTAATGCCGAAGTGCAAGACTCCCTTGATTCCACTGCGTGATCACTGACCTAAGCTCAGGGACCAGATGCATGACCAAGCCACGGGTAGCATGGCGAGGCACCGTAATCAGATGAGCTGTCATTAGCATCCAGGTGCTTACTCCTCTTTCTGCTCTATGCTGACCCACTTGCTGTGAGTCCCTCTCTGGTCTAAGCTATGACCACTGACAAACAAATGTTTAAAAAAATCTTACTGTAATGAATTATGAATTTGCTGCAGTCATTCCCTCTGTCTGCTGGAGTTCATGTCCTCCCAGCAAAGGGATGCATTTTCCTCCTTTCAGCTACTGGGTCAAGTGGTGCTGGTCAAATGCTGATAAAGGCAGGCTTGAACTCAAGTACCATGCTTTGAACTCAGCAGTTAGGGTAAAAATTTAAATTGTAATGGTGGTAGCTAGAAAAAAATTGCCATCATAAATTTTTGAATTGCCACTGCCAAATTCACCAGAGCTGCTACAACAATGTCTTGCCTTGTAGCCGGAGTAGGCTGTGATTGCTCTTTTTGTGGTGGCTGTTGGGTCAGACCTACCTGAGTTTCTGTAATTTGGCTGTGTCTCTGAGAATTCCCAAAGGGGTAGAGTACTTCAGAGTGAGGATCTCAAAAAACACACGTGCTGTGCTTATGTGATCGAACAGGAGTTTCCTCATTGTGTGATTCCTTCCTCTCCCTTTGCTCTTGACAAAAGCAAGAGTTTTCATCTCATGTATTATTGAACATTTACTTGAGTTGTATATTTGAACAAGAACAGTGTAATCTAGATCCTCTTGGCAAGAGGACAGGTATGTTAAGGATAGGGAACAAAGATCTTGCAGGTACCCGTGTACATGATTATTTTTGTGTTGCTGTTTTGGGTGCGGAGCGTTTTTTGTAATTATTGTGATTATTGTTTCTAGGGCATGCACTCCTGGAAGATGAGAATAAGGTCTGGCATCTAGTCCGGCCAGTAGATGAAATAGATGAAGGTAAATCGAAGCGCGGCAGCGTGAAGGAAAAAGAGAGGACCAAAGCTATTACAGAAATCTACCTGACCAGACTTCTCTCTGTGAAGGTAGGGCTCAGCTGTGCCACGGTCACACCTGGCTTCTAGAGATCTTGAGGTACAGCTGAAGAAAATGGTGCAACTGTTAGGCCTGCGTTTAGCTGCAGTTTTGAACACGTCATGTACATACAAGCGGTTGTTCAGGGCTTAAAGTGATTAATATGCCCTGAGGAACATTACTGGGAAAGAGATAAAGTGTAACTCTCCACCAAAGCCGAGAACCGGGCTTATGTGTTCGGTAAATAAGGATTTTTCTTGCAAGACAAAGATGGATATTCTCCTCTCTGCTACCTGCTTAGATAATATTTTGTTGGGTTTTCTTTTGAACCAAATGCTTTATAAACTGCTACAGAGCCTTATATTTCCCTCTTCTTGTGTGCAGCCCATGCTGCAGTCTAACCTAGAAAAATAAAAATGTTTTCAAATAATAGTAGTCCTTTTAGAGCATTTTTAGTGCTTATGCTGCAGATCGGATCACAAGCAAAATAATTTTGCAAAGCATTCCTTCCTGCAGAAAGAATTTAGAATAGTATGTTTGATGACCCTAAGGCCAGGCTCCTCTTGAAAATGAGGGTGACCTGGCTCCAGCTATGGCCATTTGTCCACGTGCGGAAGTGGATGTGAAGGAAAGTCTGTGCATAGATGGCATAGACAAATGGCCAGCTAGATGCTTAGATCCCTCTCTTCCATTAGTAACTCCTTTGCAGCCACTGCTTTTCTCTCCCCAACAGCCAGTTTATAGAATACTGCCAGTCTGGTGCTTTACTAACTCATACAGAGCTGGTGAGGTGTTATGGCTGGAACCACCCAAGGACTCTGGATGTGTCCTTGCTGCCAGCAGAGTGGCTTAGGGCTCCTTGCCTTCTTGATCCCTGCCCTGTTCTGAAGCTGGCAGCTGGGGTGATGGTGAGACAGAGGATGCAGCCCTTCAAACCTGTCCGTAGGGCCAGCCAGCTGAGCAGAAACAAACTGCACATGGCCTCAACAGGGTCTTCTCTAAACCAAGGGGACAGTCTCTGAGGTCCCAGTCTCTAAGGTCCAAACAGATGGAGGAATCCAGCCAAGTAAACAGCCGTCCTGGGACATTTCACTCCTTGGGCTAGGTGGAGCTCATGGAGCTGGGTCAGACTGTGTGTCTGATGAGACCCAAGGGCCTGTCCTTAAACAGAAAGTCAAATGCTCACTAGTGCTTTTTCTGCTCAGACTCTTTCTAAAAATTGCATGTTGCTCTGGAGTCAGAGAAACTGGAGGTGAGAAGCTACAAAACCATTAAAAATTACTAACAATTGTTTTACGTGCACAATGACCCTGAAGTGTAAATGTGTTGTATACTTAGAAACCAGTTTCTGCTTCTTCTGTCAAAGAGAAAGCAAACCTTTCTGTGGATACTGTAGGATAGTTGGTAAAGTCATAACCTTTTGGGCGAGAACATAAAATTGTTCTCTAGAAGGTCTTTACCGTGTTGGCAGTTTGCTGGGTCAGTGCACGAAGAAGCTGTTTGGTTTTTGTCACCCGCTACCCTTAGCACTCAGGATGAAGGCCAGCAGTGACTGCAACCGGGTTATGGGCTGTTAGTGTCAATAGCAATAAAAGATTCTAGCATCACAGCATCGTAGGATGATGCCAAGTTCAGCCTGTAACACAATTGTAATAGATTTTTTTTTTTTAATTTGCTTGTAGGGGACACTTCAGCAGTTTGTAGATAACTTCTTTCATAGCGTGCTCAACTCGAACCATGTGGTGCCACCGGCTGTGAAATACTTCTTTGACTTTCTTGATGAGCAAGCAGAAAAACATGACATCAAGGATGAAGATACCATTCACATCTGGAAAACAAACAGGTATGGTACGAGCAGTCTCATACCTGTACTGCAGAAAAATGTAACTCCCAGGTATATACTGGCACTCCTACCACAATCGGGGTATATTTCATTTATAACTCTCAGAATAATTTTAATTGAGATAATATGTTTATGTGATCAGAAGGATTCCTTGTGAGCCTAGAAGCTGCAGAAGTGAAACCAGCCTACCTATGGCGTTGTCACTGGCAGATTTACCCCTTTTTGTATTTCCTCAGAGAAGAGGAAAGCAAGAGGGAAATGGGACTAGATATACCTGTCAAAGCACAAAATCTAATAAAATACTACTTGAGAAGTCTCTAACGACACACGCATCTTCTCTTGCTATTTTGGAGCACTCGAGATTCTTCTCGTGTAAGTTTTTCTGTGAGAGATGTAAAGGCTTGGTTTTCAGACACGGAAACCAGACAACAGTCAGTTTGTGTAAATGCTGAAATACAAAATTAAGCTTCACTGTTGTGAGGAGATCAAAATGCAGAACCCGTACTTAATTGCATGTGATTTGCGTGCTGTAGAACATTTATTGTGTAAAAAGGATTATTTATCTTTTTCCTTGCTTTGCAGCCTGCCTCTTAGATTCTGGGTAAACATACTGAAAAATCCCCATTTCATCTTCGATGTACATGTTCACGAAGTAGTGGATGCTTCCTTGTCAGTCATTGCACAGACTTTCATGGATGCTTGCACAAGAACAGAGCACAAATTAAGCAGAGTAAGTGATTTGCATTCTGCATCCTGACTACACTCAGGCCTGACAAGACAAAGGGCACCCTCATAGACAATACCCATTCTCTGAGGAGATACAGCCTTGATAGCTCCTTTCCGGTTCTGTAATGAAGTTAGCATTTCACTGCTTAACAGGTTGGTGAACACGCCAGTGTGCCTGTGGAGCCTGCCAATTGATATTTATAAAAAGGGGGAAAGAGCAACTACCTGTATAAAAAGCAGGTTTAAGAACTGATTATTTCATGCCCTCCGATCATTTAGTATCATCTCGCGTTGATATATTTGTAAAACTCAGCAGTAATGCAGCAGTGTAAACTTCATCCTTTTAGGACAAATAATCCCACCAATGTTAATCAGCATCCAAATGTTAATACCTATAAAGTTTAAGTGAATATAAAGGCTTGATCTTAAGTTCTTGATGTTCTTTTGCTTCTTAGAGATGCTCATGAATCAACCAAGTTTTTCTCTATTATAAATTTTTCAGGATTCTCCAAGTAATAAATTACTTTACGCGAAAGAAATCTTTAACTATAAGAAAATGGTGGAAGAGTAAGTATAGACTCTTTTCATGCTTATTTGGAGTTGTTAGGGCTTTGAGCCTGTATAAAAGCAAAAGCAAATGCTGAGGTAGTCAGTCAACTGTCAGATGTTAAACATTTTACACCTGAACGTTAAAACTTTCCCTCGGTGGCAGCATAGGTAGGGTTGAAATGGAACCCCGTTATGACCAGTGCATGTTCGTGTCTGCGCAGACAGATGGATAGACCTATCCAGGAGAAAATACAATGCTGCTTTCTGCAGCGGTGGTTGTTACCCACACAGTCTGTCTAACCAGTGCTGCACTTCCGTAACTCACTCGAGTGAGAACATTTTCACAAGCACATGTTTTCTGTTCCATCTCTGACTTTATTCATTTACTAATTGGCAATTCTGTGAATACCATGGAAGATCTGCCACAGGACAAAACTCTTGCTAGCTGATGACTTCAAAACTTTAAGACCTAAAATAATAATTGGCTGCCATTATAAATAGTTTTCTTTCCTGTGGTATGGCCACGTACAAACACGTACGATTTGCCTCTGTGTGCTGGATTCAGCCAGGGAAGA